ATAGTCTCTCAGTTTTATAAATAGTGACACCCTGGACATCTTTGTGTAGGAGCTTCTTGCTAAAGGCATTTGGACGATCACTCAACATTCAAGTCTTGAACATGGAATTATCTCAGAGCTCGTCACAAAAGCACTATTCCACAGCACTCCCTCCCCACTGCAAAAGCTTTTATATCTTGCATGTTCAATACTTTTTCTTTATTTTTTCTCTTTGATTCCTGAAAGGCTGAACTTAACCTTGAGCTTTGCCGTGTAGCTCTGCGGAGGAACCAACCTGAGAGATCCAGCTGGGTGGATTGGTGTTTGGTTTCAAGACTGACTCCTTAATAAATCTCAAACATGTAATAGGAGATGTGTGATGATGCCAGGACTCAAAATCAGTGTCCCCACGACCCAGCAGGCATGGGCATAGGGGCCAGGTGGAGATAGATGGAGGCAGATCTTCCTGACAGGAGGGCGGGGCGGGGGGGGGGCCGCCGGGGGGAGGCAAAAAGCTCTATAGACACGGCAGTTCCTGGGGCCTGACCTTCTGCCTACCTTTCAGTGAATCTCCTCATTTAAGATCATTTGCAACTAATTTATATTTTTACAAAACATCATGCAGCACCAACAAAACCTGTCTGCTGGCTGGATAAGGCCACAGCTGCAGATTTTTAATCTCTGAGTAAGTGTTCACCCAGCGAGATGCTAGTTGTTCCAACTCCGCTTGATTGAATAACCCTCCACCCTCGCATTGATTCAGGATACCTCCTTTATCATCCATTGTCTTGTAAATAATAGGCTATGCTTTGGGCTTACCCAAATCTGTGCCATTGATCTACTGATTCTTACAGCAGAACCTCAAGGCTTGAATGATTCTGATCATAGAATCTTGTTTAGTATTAAAAAGCATTTTACACACACACACACACACACACACACACACATCCCTCACTTTATTTTCCCTAATTTTCTGACTTTTTCCACAAGTCTTGTCAGTTTTTTTAGATAAGTTTGGAATCGTTTTGCCTAAAACAACAAACAACAACAAATCCCAAAGAATTACTTACTTCCTGTCTCATTATTAGCTCCGTTAGGACAGCCCACTGATTTTGGGAGCAGCTCCTACTGTTTGCCTTCCTTCCAACCTCTCAGGTGAGTTTGTCTCTCCCTTCCATTAAGTGAATGGCAGGCATTCCTCCCAAACCCTGTTCACCGGGGGCAGGGACCATTCTGTGGCCCCAGGGAAGGCGAGGGCTGCTTCCCAGTCCTAACTAGGGGTGAGTTACCAGGAGGCAGCACAGCGGGGACTTTTGCAGAAGGATAAGCTGGTTTCTAAGAATTACAAAGAGGGTTTCGTTTCTTCCTACAAAAAGAAAACTGGGAAGAAGAAGCAGGGCCTGGAGTGTCCTGGTAGGAGGAAGGGGGAAGAGGCTTTGGGCCAGCCCGCCCCACTTTGGTGCAAACAGAACAAAGGCCAACCCACCCCGGGCACCCTGGCACCAGGCCCCTCGAATCATAAAGGCACCATTGCCTTGCTAACGATGGCCATTTATTTGCAGTGCTTGGCCTGCCTGCCCTGCCCTGCCTGAGAGCCCTGGAGCCACAAAACAAAAACTGTTCATCTGCACCATGACTCTGGGCAGTAGGAGTCATTGTTATGAGCTGATTTTTATAGAGGAGGTAACAGACGTCTCTGAGCTTGGTCCTACTGCTTTCCAGTAAATTTGAACCCGGGACCTGACAGAGCCAGCATGCTTTCCCTGCTCCTAGAGGTCACCCCTCTCCACTCAACACCATCCCACAATCTCCCCCCACCCCAGCCTTCCCCAGCTCTTTGTCAGAAACAGCCCCTGCTGATTCACCAGAGCAAGATCTTGGTGCGTTTTATCTCCAACCCAAATGCCAAGAACAAATAGGGTCAATGAACATTAGTAGGATAAATGAATGAGTCTATTCAACAGACATTTGGGAAGCACCTACCACAAGCCCACAAAAGACAACGGGATGCAAGAATGACAAGACAGACATAGCCCCTGCCCTCTTGGGTCTAACACCGCAGAGACAAGGCATCCACTCTGCTTGATTCGTGCTGGCTGCCTCTCGGCACCTTCGACAGTGCTTGGTACTAGGTGCTCTAAAAATACTGGTTGGCAGAAGGAAGGCAATAAGACTGGAGGAGGTGTTCAACAGGCCTGTGTACAGTACACACTTGATTATGTAATAATAAATGCACACAACCCTGCAGTTGTGAGCTGGGACACAGGAGAGAAAGACATCCCTGCCCTCACTGTGGCTACACGGAGGCAAAAATGCTCTGAGCTGGGAGAGGAACAGAACAGGAGCTTCTAGAAGGCTTGAGAGGGCCCAGGCATTTAAATGGGCAGACAAGTGCCCACCCAGCTCCACAGGTGGGTTCCTGTATGCTCTAGGTTTCTCTTCTACAGGGAAAGGGCATGGGTAAAGTAGTGGTGGCATACCAGGGGCAGAGATGTCCTGAATCAGAGTGCCAGAGATGCTCCCCCAACTCTAACCTGTAGGCTAGGACATCTGGAGCTTCACAGAAGGCATACTGGCTTTCACAGGACCAGTGTTTCTCCAGCCTTAAGCAAGCGTCCTGCCACCACCAGCAATCTGGGATAGGAAGAATGAAAAGAAAGCCGCCTGAACCATTGGACATCAATGCTGTTGAGGAAACAAGGAAGTTGGCAATTAGAAACACTAGTAATCAGGGACCAGGGGCCGGGGACCAGAGATGATGACGACTAAGGTCAGAAGGAGTCATTGACCAGGGACACATGGGTAGAGTGACTTGTAATTAGAGATGGTGTAATCATGGGGAAATGATGCCATTCATGATCAGAGAGGGTAATGGTCATACATGAAGGATCAGGAGGCAGTGCTCAGAGATCTTGGTGATCAGAATGATTGTTAATTGGCTATATCAATCATTGATCAAGAACAGAAAGGACCAAGGTGACAGGAGTATTAGGATGAAAGCATTTGGTGCTCATGTTCTTGATGAGCTATTGGTGATAAGATTCAATGACTGAAGACATCCAGGGATCTTGGTGGTGTGTGACCTACTAGGGATCAACAGCATCAATGACTGGAAAATTTGATGACCAGAGAGACAGGTTACTGGTGATTCCAGTGACGAGGAAGGTTGGTGATCAGTACTACAGGTGATCAGCGGTATAAGAAATATTGGTCCTGGGGGCCTTGGAAGATAAATAAATTCAACAATCACTGATTTGGACACTACAGACTGTGGTAATCAGCATTGACCAGTCATGGGTACTGGTAACCAGAGTCGCTCGTGACCACATTGACAGTCAGAAAATTTGATGCTAAGAGGATTCTATGGTCAGGGACATTGTTGGTTAGAGATATTGGTGATTGGAGACAAGTGACCAAACACATTGTTAGACATTGGTGATGAGAAATAGTATAATCAGAGATCATGTAAGTGTAATCTCATCTATCATTGATTAGAAAAACATTGATCAATGACAAGGGTGATCATACTTCTTGATGACCTAGCGCATTAGTGACAGAGCGAGCAACACCTTGATGCTTAAGTGGTAAGACACAGTGGTGATCACAGAGATGGTAGACAGAAATACTGAGGACACAGACAGTGGTCATCAGAGACATTGGCAAACAGACACATTGAATAGAAATATTGTTGAACAGATATGCTGATCAGAACATTGGTGATGAGAGATATTCATGATCACACATATACTGGTGAGCAAGCAGTCATGGTAGACACTGGTGATGTCAGTGATCAGACACAGCATCCATCAGTGGCATTGACGAAGTATTAGTAATTAAGTAATGGTCATCAGTTGTTAGTAATTAGATGTCTATGATCATAGGCTCTGTGTGATTGTCATTGAATCACTGACATTATCATTGACCATTGAATAGTCATAGCTATCGCTGTTGACCAACATAATGGATTAAAGAAGACAGAAGTCAATGACATTAGTGATCAAATACATTAGTGGTCAGGTTTGATAATGAATGGGAATATTGGTGACCAGCTAGCTCAGAAACAAAAACTGATCAGTACCTGAGAGGAAGTGAATGTGAGGTCAGTGCAGAATGTGAGTCTGCAAGAGCCCCAATTGAGCCCTCAAAAAAGGATTAGTGTGTGGACCAAAGGCCAGAGAAGCCACAGCCACCCTCTCCAGTATCCACCCAGCCACCAGGACCCCAGTTAGGTAATAACAAGGAAATTCAGATGGAAGCAATTCAGAAGATTATCTGAGTCCCAGCCAGATAGGGCCCCAGCTCCTATTCCAGTTTTTCCCTCCAAATCACTGGGTTATAGAAGCAGTTCAGCTTGACTGCTAATTTCCATGCCTGGGACTCGGTTGTTCCAGAAGTCCATAAGACAGGACAGAGGCATTCACAAAAAGTATTTTATTATTAACAGTATTCACTTTAAAGGAATAGAAGGATAGCATATAATTTTTACAGACAACATATAAATGTTGTACATAATTAACAATAACTTAGTTCACTAATCCAAAATAAAACAAGCCAAATGAAACATAAAAACCGAAAATACTGCCGATTCTTCTTATGTGGATGCTAGTCCAAAATAAGTTACTTCTGGTGGTGGTGCCCCCAGCAGCAATCAACGGCCCATATTGCACTTGGTCAACTACATCAGCACAATCCTCTTCCTGGGCACGGCCCTCTCCAGCTGCCACCCCCCACCACCACCCCATACAGAATCTAAGCTCAGGCAGGGTTATGTACAGCTGTACCTTGAGAAGGATCCAGCCAGCCACAGCAAAGCAGAGCAGAACCCAGCTCTCCTGGGACCCCAGCAGGTTCATGGCCTCTCAGGTCCTGGCCCTGACTCACCCCCAGCTCCTGCCTTTGCCACCTGCCAGACCAGCCCGGAGAAGCCAAGGGCAGCTAAGGCCCCGTCCCTGGCCCCCAGCTCCCTGTTCTAGGGCTATGGGATCCAAGAACTTTTCCAAAAATAATTGCGAAGCTACAGCCTTGATTTGTAGGTTTTATTCCTTTCCATAAGAAAGGCTTCTGTGGCAAAGTACGTTTGACTGGACCCAAAAAGAGTTTAAAAATAAAACAACTAACTCATCAGCGAGTTAAGCTTATGCAGTCTTTTAAAATATTTTTTCTTTTGTCTCATAGTGGGAGGGAAGGGGTCGAGGGATTAGCAGAAAAAGGATGTATGTACAGGGGCCCACCTGGCAGAGGAGGCAGGCGGTAGCCCGGCTGTGAAGGGGACACAGACCACACCAGCTTCAGCCTCAGAGCCAGGGGAGTGAGCTGGGAGACATTTCCCCTCGCAAGAAAACGCTGTTTCCTTCCTGTGACCCAGCCCTGGCCTGGGAATCTATGTAGGACTGTGATTGTCTCTGCCCTCCAGGGCCCATCAGCAGGGCACGCACTGGCTCAGCCTCCCGTAGGCCATGACCCCTCTAGATTGGCGAGGCCCAGCCTGGGATTCAGCATTTCAGAGCCGGAAGCCCCAGGAGAAGGTGTGGGCTAAGTCCCTCACAGATCTGCCCTCGGAGCCCTGGCAAGTGGATGACAGGCCAAGCGGAGGAAGACCAGGAGCACCTGGGGCAGCTCAGACCTCTCCCAGTCCTTGGAGGAACAAGAGTGAAATAAGTTATTTCTGCTTACTCCTTTTTCCTTCTAAAAATGGTTTCCTTTGTTTGTCCCCTACTCCCTCCTCCTCTCTTCATAAAGTTGTCCTTTCTGCTCTCCAACAATTGTCCGTGATGGAAACCCCACCTGGGTAGCAGCTGGGCTGAGGCCACCACTCAGCCCCAGTAAGAATCTTCAGAGTGACCGGCGACTGCCGAGCAGAGCACCCACAGGTGGGGCAGCGTGGGGCTCGGGCTGGGCTGACAGGAGAGGCATCAGTCTTTGGGGAAGGGCAGACAGGTAAGGTTTTGGTTCACCCATCCTTGGAGCACCCGGCCTTGAGCTGCAGGCCACCTTCCTCTGCATCCATCTGTCCATTCGTGGAGGGCTGTCCCTAGCCCATGGCGGTCACCATGCTGGATGGGTGGGGGTGGCCAAAGGAGAGGCTGGAGGAGGGGTGGATGGGTGTTGGGGTGGGCAAGATGTGTCCCGAGTGGCTGAAGGGTGGGAGGTGGCCAACAGGTGCCATATGTCCGGCCAGGGTGGCGGCGCTAAAGGGGGAGGCCTTCTCCTGCATACACTTGGACAGCTCCTCGAAGCACTCCGCCCCCTTCTTGTTCTTCTTCGACTTGTTGGACATCTTCCGGTTCCGAGTCTGGATCCCTTCCTTCTTCATGGTCAGTGGTCTATTCACCTGGGGGCAACCACAAAGCCTTCAGGGAGTCAAGTTCCCTTCCCAGAGAAAGACCCCCACCCCCTACTTGGGCTTGGGGCAGAGGCAGGCCTGGGCTGGGACCCCCACCCCCAAAAGCCCACGTAGTCCTGTCACCAGCACTGCCCCAGTTTCAGGAAGGGCACTTAGAACTGTGAGGCTGACCTGTACCCGGCTGGACACCGAGCCCCCTAAATTCCGGCAGTGCCTCTCCAACTACACAACCAAAACACTCCCCGACTTTTGTGTTAAACAGAGAGTTGTTAGGCCTGCTGTGGAGAACACACCTCTAGCCAGCTTGCCCTCTGATGGGAGCCCTCTGGAGCCAGGGCTTTCCCAAGCCACGCCAAGCTGCATGCAGAGTGGCTGGGGCCTCTGCCTGGCAGCACAAAGAGCAGCGGTCCCTGGGGAGGGGTGGGGCAGGGCGGCGGGGCGGACTTACATTGTGCAGCTTGTAGTAGAGGCCACAGGCATTGCAGACAGGGTCCCCATTGGCGTTTCGGCGCCATAAGGTGGTGGTTGTCGTCTGACAATTTGCACAACAGGTGCCAGCTCTCCTAGCAGCAGACTGGGAGGGGAGGGGCAGCGTCAGCAGGCTGGGCTCCCACGCCCCACCTCTACCAGCTTCCCTGACCCTTGCCCCACCCCCACTCCGCCCCCCACTGACTTAGCCAAAGAGCCTAAATCCCTAAGGAGAATTGAGGCACCTCAGAGCTGTGGACATGTAGAATTTGAGATCTAGACAATCACAGAACTTTAGAATAAAGAACTCTCAGACGGCTGATCTCACTATCAACGGGGTTTCCAGAGCTGGAAGGGAAAATCAACTTCCTCCTGGATTCACCAAACAATCTGACTCTATAAATGGGGAAACTGAGGCCCCTGAGAAGTGCTCTTTAGTTTTGGTCTCTGGGTCTGGAGCTGCTTCTTTCTCCCACAGGACTCCCCTCAAAATCCATAATTCTGGGCAGCGTCCTGCCTGAGGGCAAGGCAGGGCAGGGGTGGGGGGAGGGGAGTGCGGACCCTGTGGCTGCCCAGGGTGGAGATGTAAAATGTTTCGGGTGTCTCACTCAGGCCGAGCTGTCCAACACCGTAGCTACTGCCACAGGTGACGACTAGACTAAATTTCCATTTCATAAAAGTAGAAATCTTGCTTCTCCCATTGCACTGGCTACATTTCAGGGAGTCCATAGTCACAGCATGAGCTGGAGCTTACCATAGTAGACTGTGCAGACCTAGAACATTTCCTTCATTGTCGGTTTACCGGACAATGCTGGTCTTTCTATTCAACCCCTTGTATCCCAAACCTCAAAGTCCTAACCGCCCCCAGGCCCTCAAGGAATGCAGGACAGAGGTGGTCGGGCAATGAGTGTCTGATTTCTGGAGAAGGGAGTGAAAGGCTGGCAGGAGAAGGCCACAGAGTCTTTATCCAAGAAAGTAGATTCCTTCTCCTGGTTCAACCAGGGCCAGCCCCACAGTCACAGAGAACTGCGGGCAGCAGGGGTGGGTGGGGGGCCAGGGCCAGCAGAGGCTGGAATGGCCGCAGGGGGGCCTATGGACTGCAGTCTCAGAGCCGGAGCGGTGAGGGTGAGTAAGCAGCCTGAAGCTGGAATTCTGACTCAGGGGCCAACACTTTAGCCTCCATCCCTACCCGGGCCCTCACCCCGCCCTCACTGCAGGGGGGAAGGGGGCCCCCCAAAGCGGCGAGAGTGATTTAAGCCTCATAAATCACTTCACCCTGAAAAAATATATTTATTATTCTTAGCATTTTACACATTATTTGCAAAGTGGAGCATATTAGAAATTTCAAAACAGCCCAGCGAGAGGCAGGACTGAGCCGAGGAGAGACTCTAAAAACTCGCAGAGTCCGGAAACAGATACACGAAGTTTCCTTATCTTCAGGCTGCAGATGTCCGGATAGGAAACTCCGGCAGGAGATCCGAAAGGGCATTTTTTTTTAAATGGCTCAAATGAAAATACACAGTATAGGTGTCTCCATGGAAAAATAATAAAGGGCAGGTTTTTTTGGAGGCTGGTGTGTTTTATTTAAATAGGCATGAGGAGCTTGTGAGAGAGCTGCCCTAAGCCACAGGGAAAATTACTTCATGGCCCTATTTTTAAAAAGAGTTAAACAGAGGCCAGGGCCCTTGGACACTCAACTCTCGGTATCCCTGAGCGGGGTGGGGGTGAGGGTCCCTGACGGGCTGCCGAGGAGGAAATCTGGCCTGAAAAAAAAATCTGGCCGGAGAGAAGGGCAACCCCAACCGACATCCAAGTGATTTTAATGATAAAAGGTCTGAAGTGGCAATCATCTGCGTTGGAAGGCTTCTCTGTTGTTCTTGTTTTTTTTTAAAATTAACTGTCAGCTCCCGCCCAGGTTAGCTACCAGGGTGCCGCCCACCAGCCTGCTCCCCGGCATCAGCTCCCCCCTTGCCCCGCTGCCTACCAGTCTCCGCTTCGGCTTGATGAGCGGCCGGTTCTGCCCATTCATCTTGTGGTAGAGCCCGCAGGCATTGCACAGGTAGTGGCCGGTGCCGTCTCGTCGCCAGAGAGGAGTGGCTGTGGCCCCGCAGTTGACACACTCCCGGCCTTCTGAAGGGGGACAGGGAGAGACACCGGCCTGCTTAACCGACAGGGTCACGGAAGACAGTCGGTGGGCGAGCGGGTGCCGATCCGGCAGCAGTCCCCTCGGCCAGGCTGCTTCAGGGGAGGTGACTTCTAGTTCCAGTCCCGATGGGGAAAGGGAGCCAGGGGATCTCCCCCAAGGAGCAGGGTGCAGAGACTAGTTTAGGACCTAATCTCCCTCTTCAAAAACCTCTCTGGGCGAAAGGGAAACCGGGCTGAGGGAAAGCGGGCCAGGGCCCCAGGGGTTCTCCGCATGGACGACAAGGAGAGGGTATTTACAACAAACTTTGTCAATGGCAGGGCTGTGACTGGAGTCACCTGGCTGGCCCCGGACACTCCGGGCCCCCTTTCTAGTTCTCTTTTGTCTCTCTCCTATCCCCACAACCGCATCCGCTACCTACTGAGTCTGCTCCACGTCTATGCCCTCAGCCTTTACCCTGACTGTCTGCTCTCAGTCCAGGGTATAATCCTTCTTTCCCGCCACACCCCCTCCTCTGCTGAGGCCCGACATTTCAGTCCAGGACTCAGATCGAAGTTGTGCTTTAAAATAAAATAAATAATAAGCCCTTTCGTTTTTAGGCTAAGTTGTTTTTGGTTTTTTGTTTGGGGTTTTGTTTTGTTTGCTGTTGTTTGCTTTTTATTTTTGTTTTGTTTTTGTTAAACGACCATCTGGAATTCAAATAGAAGGTAAAACAAACTTGGGAGAAAGGACTAATTAAAGGCCAGCTAGCTGGTCTGAGCAGAACAGGGACTCCGAAGTGAGACGAGGATGGGTGCAGGTGGCAGCTTCAGCGATCAAACGGGGTAACTGCTTTAGCATCGTGTCACCCGGGACATTTTTCCACATTTAGTTTAACTAAATTGCCAGTATATATGGGCAAGAAAAGGTGTGTCCTGGACTTGGGAGTACGTTTGTAAAATCTTCCTTTCCCCAGCTTAAAAGAATTGGGAAGGATGCATCGATAGGACTCCCACGCTAACCCATGGTTTCTGCTCTACGAAGGCCAGATTCTTGGACAAATCCAACTTGGCCCCAGCAGCTCCTCCTGCGAAGGGGCAGAGGCACCTACAGCTTCATCCCTTCACTCCAGCCCTCAGGGAGGGAGAGTAAAGGACACGCCAGGGGCGGGGAGCATGAACAGGTTCTGGAATTTTGCTTTGGGGAAATCTCCCAAGGAGATCTGGAGCCACAGAAATCCCAAGATCGGACTGATTGAGTTGGAGAACCGGATTCCTTAAAGATCTGGAACCTTTGGAGTGCACACGCTCACAAACACACGAATACACACATACACACGGCCTCTCTGCTCTCCCCTGCACATTGCATTCTCTCACACTGAATCTTAAGATTCAGGGAGGGGAAGGGGGAATTCCCCTTCTGTGGTCTGGTCTGGCATTGGCCAGCCTTGGAGGGAAAGGTAAGGAATGGGGAAGAAAAGTGAACTTTGGGGGCCACAAGGAACACTTGAAGGCAAACGTTTTAGGACCCCCTCTCCCCCATTCTGGGCTATCAGACATCTCTTGGGGCTCTTAGAAAGGGACATCATGCATCCCCGGACCTGGGAGCCTAAGACCGCCCCCTCTCCTAGACCACAGCCTACAGGGTCCCACCCCAACCACCACCCCACAAAACACAAACTGCCCCCACTTCCACGAGGTCCCTAGCACCTGCTTTTACCTGAGCAAGAGCGTGCCTTGCTGCGCTGCTTAGGGGTGAAGCTGGAGGCAGGGCCACCCAGGAAGCCTCCAGGGTGGAAGAGTCCGCTGCTGTAGTCGTGGGTGGCAGCCGGCACGTAGGAGGGGTAGGTAGGGATGGGGTGATGTGTGGCAGGCTGGGTGCCCATGGCAGCCAGGCCTGGACGCAGGGGGCTGCCGCTTTCCATCTTCATGCTCTCGGCCAGGGAGACTTGGTACTTGACGCCATCCTTGTCCTCCCCCCGGGCAGCACTACCCCCTGCGGAGGAGGAGGCTGGGGAGGCAGCCCCGGTGGCGCTGGGGTCAGGAGACACTTCCTTGGGCGGCGTGGGTGGGAAGCCAAAAAGGTGGGAGCCAGAGTGGGCGGCAGTGGGGGTGAGG